TACCAAGTGTTTCCTGAGCATCTTCAAGATATGAACACATTAGATCTAACTAACAATCCTATGAGCTATACCTGACTGCTATTTATGTCACTAAAAGCAGTACACCTCACTCTAATCTCTTAATTGTCATTCAAAGTCAGTATTAGACTCACAATAATTCATCAGAATGTCTCTTAGTTTGTCTTTTCTTTGGTGCCTTACCTTACCATTGTCACTCAATCAGAAAGTTCTAGAGAATGTGCCCTCTTCACCTCAGTATACAGTTTCACGACATCAATCAACTTGTGCATTGTAGGTGGCAGAAAGCGGTTCTTCCTCGCGATGACCCTTTGTCCACCAGAACGTAGGGTCCTGGCTGGGCCTGCGGCATCCTCGCATTGTTCCCCGTGTTTGAGTCACTTCTGCTTATGCAGCTGCTGTTGGCCTGAGTCATAAATCGCAATGATCCTATGTCATCGCAAACAAAACCCGGCTCAGTCCTGTGCTGTGCTCATTTTATTTGTGGTGCTTAGCTCATTGTTATAATCGTTGCATAAATCCCTCTCACTGAAGGTTTTCCTCTTTTTCGGACCCTCCAAGTTGGACAGAGTCCCCCATGGCTCGGCCCCTCCCAATAATATGCCCAAAGTATGTGAGGTACAGTGTCACAGTCTTTGTTTGAAGGAGCATCCTGGCTGTGCTTTTTCCGAGACAGGCTTGTTTAGTCTTTGAGAAGTCTATAGAGTTTTCTATATTGTTTGCTAACCCCGTGTAATCTTTGTTGTTACGAGGTCCCATGGAATCCACTAGGGCTCACAGTGACCCTGTAACCAACAGATCTGAACCTGGTCCTATCCTGCACCGTCCTCATGATCTCTGATTTACTCTAGCCTGTGTTTACGGTCACTGTTTCAATCCCTCTTGCTGGAGGTCTTTATCTTTTTCTCTGAGCCTTGGTGTTTTCCAGAATGATGCCCTTTTCCAAGGCCTGGCAGTGTTTCCTAACAGTGTGTGTAAAGAACGTGAGTCACACGCAGGCTGCACTGCCACCAGGGGAGACTTATTTGTTCCTTGGACTGTCCAAGGGATAGTAGGTACTTTTTTTTATCAACATAACAACTCAAAGGCATTGATTTTTCTTCTGTCTTTCTTATTCATGGCCCAAACTTTCAGGTGCGTCAGATGGAATTGAAAAAACTGTGGCTTGAGTTCAACTGACCTTTTTGTTCTTTAGCATTTTGGGGAGGTTCTGGATGCAGATTTTCCCAGTGCAGCACCTATTTTCATTTTTTCCGATGTGGGTAGTACTATACACATAGATAGGTAGATAGATAGATAGATAGATAGATAGATAGATAGATAGATAGATAGATACATACATACATACATACATACATACATACATACATACATAGATATCAGATTGAAATAACTGCTACACCCACTTGAAAATATGTAGAAAATAGGAATCACTGTTTGGACACAGACGGGTACATCATTGTGTCAATGCCATGACATAAGCCTAACAAAAATAGGGGGGAAAAACCCTTTCTAAATTCTAGGCTATAGGAAGCCTAGATGAGATTAGTTGTTTGACTTCTTCAGATGTTCTGGGGAGAAAAGATGCACAGCCTCCTGTGGCAAAGAATCAAAGCCTTTATAATTCTATGACGGGAGCTCTGGTGGCCTAGAATTAAGGAGATGTGCTGCAATCCCAAAGGCATGTGGTTTGAATCCACCAGCTGCTCCAAGGAAGAGGGATGAGTATTCTCCTCCTGTGTGATTTCCTGCCTCTGAAAACCCACTGGAAGGTCGGTCATGACTCAGTTCTCAGTTGACAGCACATAAAAACAGCAGCAAAATCCTTTGAAGCTGCGATGGCCTAGTGGCTAAGAAGATGTGCTGCCATCCCAAAGGCAAACAGTTCCAATTCACCAGCTGCTCCTCAGAAGAAAGATGGGCAATCTCATCCCCTCTGACTGACAACCACTGCAGTGTCAGCTGCGAATTGATAGCTACTAGACAACAATAAGCGTTTATTCTTTTTAACCCTGTGGAAGGGGTCAGCATGAGTTTGATTCTTGGCTTCGTGACAGTGGGTTTACACAGCCCCAGGCCTATCTTCAGAAATCTCAAAACTGATTTTATTATCTTTTTTGTACTTTCCCTTCAGCAGTTGGTCTCATTGCTAAGCACGTATATCTGCCTTTCCCAAAGCCTAATAGCCCTTTCTTTTAAATCAGGATGTACAGCAGCTACTTAAAAGAATCGTTATGAAATTTAAATGAGGTGTAGGTTGGATAGGAGAATATATCCTTTCTCAAATCAGTTATTGCACATAATCATTGGAAACCTGGGAGTTTCTTCCTCTTACTTTGGTGAACATGGCCCGTTTAGCTGGAATCCTTCAGTAAAGCACCCTGCCAAATTGGGCCGAGTTTTGGAGCCAGGGAGTCAGCCACAAGATGCACTCAGGCACCCTCAGGGGTTAGTGGGCCCAGGGTAAGACCTTGACCTTGGGAGAACCAAGAGGCTCTGATCATCAAGGTTTCTCACTCATTTGTATAAAAGAGAGATTTACAACTGAAAAGGGAATGCTAGAGTTGTAGTCCAGAGAGAACGGTATTACTAGGCTGTTCTTTGGTGGTTCAAATCTACCAACTGCTGCAAGGAGAAAGTTGGGTGGTCTCTACCTGTTTGATCTATATATAACCTTGGAGACCCATTGGAGGGTCAGCTATGAGCCGGACTTGACTCAATAGTAATGGTTTGCACCCACTAAACACATCTGTGGGACAAGGGGAGGGGGAGAAAAAAAGGTCATCTGCTTCCATAAACATAGCCTAGGGGCTGGGGGGTGGAGGTGTGTTCTAGTTTATCTTGACAACTACCAGAGGTTACTGAGAATACAAATAGACTCCCCTGACCCCAGCAAGTGTGTGTACAAAGCTCTTTTTTCGCTATTCTTTCACACTCTGCCTAGTGTAAACAGAAAAACTGGGATTGAATTAAAGAAGAATAGCTTTCGGGCTGTGTCTCTGTTCTTCCGTGATGTCTGTACGAGCCACCTGCACGCAGTGCTCTGAGCCCACTCCTGTTTGCAAATGTTACCATCATGGATAAAGCTCGGCTTCCAGACTGAGTAGCTGGCTGGGGTTTGGGGTGGGTAGGGGGCATGAGGGAAGTCCCAGTTGTCAGAACAGGAAAGATTTAATGTCTAGGAAGCCAGGAGCTCTCAGGCATGCTTCTCTACAATTTTCATTTACCAAGAATCAATCTTTATCATTAGAACAAACCAAAATTCAAACAAGCTGTTCGAAAACCACTGCATTGTCAGGGACATGGCGTCTGAAACACGCCTGTTGTTTTTCTTTCAAATTGGTTATACTTTCAAATTTGCCTGAACTTGATCTCTTCTCTCCCCTCGCCTCATTTTTCCAGTGCTCTCTGATTTCTCTGTCCTGTTTTCCTTGCTCCCTAACCTTCCTGGGCAAGGTTTCCAGCATTACCATTTTTTTAATTTTTAAACATCTCTTGTTAAGCTGATGAAATGAAACAAAGGAATGAAGACAGTCTGCCTCAGTGACTAGAGAAAGAAACACTTTTTTAAAGGCAGTGAAGTCGGTTACTCTTAAAGAGAGAACAGAACAGACCAGACAGCGGTAATGGACCTGCATCCCTTAGGAAGTGGGTGGCCCCTTGAGTGCCTTGTTAAGTACGTTTTGGAAAACTTGCTGTGGGAAATAAAATGCATTTTCTGCCAAAGACCTCTCCTTCGCATGAGCTAACCTACATGTTTTGCCTTACAAATTGCTCGGCATTTTGGTGGTCTTTTTTTTTTAGTTGACCATATGTGGATATCAATATATCAATGCAAATCTCGGTTGCTTAAAATGTGGTGATAAGGTCAACCCCACCCACTCCATCTCAGAACCTGCCAGTTATTCTCTCCTGGCGGCCTGGCCACATGTGTGTGTGCCCATCATGCCCTGGACGTAGGCATTGATGAGGGCGAGTGCATGGATGAATCTGTCCAGCGTCCCTCGACCTAGCTGGGAAGTGGCTACGTTTTCACCTGCTGTCAGCTGTGGTCAGTGGTTTCCTTGTGAAACATCGGTTGTGTTTGCACGGTAATGATCATTTTAGTATCATCCTTGTTCCTTTATAACCTATTTGATGTTGCAGCTTTCTGTTGGGTGGTGGGGTTAGTCAGGTTAGATGAAGGTTTTCCTCTTTCCAGGTGCATTTCTTCTCTGTGCGTTTCTCTTCCGCGCTTGAAGGCTAATAATAGTATATGAGCTCATAGAATTGCAGCTGAACCCTCTAAAGAGAAAACAATGAACCATTTCAGGAGATGAGTGATTTCTGACAAAATTCTTCTCCTAACTTGAAGGTTGCACCTCCCCACTTGATTAAAATGTATTTCACAATTAAATTAAAATGCAAATAAAAACATCCTGTGTTTATAGTTATAATGGAATTACTTAAAGAGGAATTTAAATCAATCTGCTGTTAATATTTCATGCCGAATTGTTGGTTTTATTGTGGGGCCTGTCCTGCCGCGTTCCATTTTCAAGATTACTTAAAGTGGCATGAAAATTTAATCACACCACATAGGTTTTTAGCCACTCATCTCGGGGAAGTTAAAGTGGACCACTTTCTTACATAGTTCATAAGTTATGTCTGCTAAGGTTGGAGAAACGTCAAGTGCTAAAACTTTAGAGCCTTTTGTAATTGAGATAAGGACAATTCAGTACTTGTTTTCAAGAAACATTTTATTATCTTGAATTGGATCAACTCCTAACTTTTACAGTTTATTATAGAATAGAATCTGGAAAAGTAGTACTTCAGGAAACCACGTGGTGCAACTTGTAATTTGTACTGGAAATATACATATTTTATAAGAAATTTAATTTAATCAGAACGTCTCTTGTTGTTGTTGTTGTATCTTATCTCTTCTTAAGCAATGTTAAATAATAATGAAACTTTCCTCTTTGTTGGTTTTTTTTTTTTCTTTTTAGTGACCTCAGTGAAAATCAAATCCAAGCAATTCCGCGGAAGGCTTTTCGTGGGGCAGTTGATCTTAAAAACCTGTAAGTATTTATTTTTAAAGATTGCTATATTGCTCCCAAATTGTCTTTTTAAAGACAACTTATAGTCAAAGAAATGTCAGAAAGGAATGGTGAAGACTGTACACTTTTTATGCTTACAAGAATTTAAAAAATAATATTTTTATGGTTTCCACAGCTTTTTCACATGATACTTATTTAGAATTTGTTATGAAATTGAAGTTTATTCAGTTTTAGTCTTGTAAACTTTCTGATTTGCCTTGTGAAAGCTGAGGAAATTATTTTATAAAGAGTATTTATACTGAGAGAGTATTAAACTTTAATTCGAAAAATCATAGCCTACTCCTCAATTGCTCATATGGGATGAATTACCACTGTCATTATTTACAACCCATTGATCACTATACTTAATCTACTCATCTATATTATCCTCACCTTGACATTATTCCTATTACTTAACCTTAACCGCTCAACCACCTTATCTATTTTTGCATCAAACTGAAACAAAGCCCCCATTCTTATACTTTTGATCCTTACAACCCTCATATCAACAGGTGGGCTACCCCCATTTTCAGGATTTATGCCTAAATGACTAATTATCCAAGAAATCACCAAAAACAGTAACCTCGTTCTTCCTCTTATTATAGCTATCATAGCACTGTTAAATCTTTATTTTTATATACGTTTAGCTTACTCAAACATAACTAAACTAGACTGACTTTATATTCCCACCCCAAACTCATCACTCCTAACCTCTCTACTAGTATTATCAAATATACTACTTCCCCTTACACCGTTGCTATTGCTCCTAGAATAGAGGTTTAGGTTACATAAGACCAAGAGCCTTCAAAGCTCTAAGCAAGTTGAATTACTTAACCTCTGACTTAAGGACTGCAAG